ATAAGGTTGTTGTTGATATGATACTATAATCCATCAAGACCATCACATGTGATGCTAAATCATAGACGCAAACAACATTTGACGCGGCCTAAGTCGTAGCACACGTCGTCTTCACATTACAGGGTCCCCTCACGCGTATTATCACATGTGATAAGGGTAGTCTCGCACGTTCTCGTAAAATGGGATGTTCTTGTTTGGACCTCTTCCTCCTATATATATATATATATATATATATATATATATATATATAAATTAACTATATGACAAACACAATGTGTGAATTATTTCCCTCCAATATTAGAATTTATTTCTAAGACAAATTCATGAGTAATAATAAATAAGATTTCAGTTGTGTGGCCATTCAAAGCAATTGTCGGTATCATTATTAGTAAAATATCAATATAAGTGACATGTATTGCCAAATTAAATGGAGCTTATCAAACGTTATATAAAAACGACGTTTTTTTTCCAATACATTTTTAATGTCTTTTCAACATTTTACGTTTTATCGTATCATGTTATGGGTCATTCTCGTCCTCTATCACGATACTATTATTGATCAAGTTGTCAACTTTGGCTATTGTGTCCATTTGTTTTTGTCCAATCTCGAAAAACCCATCTTGTTTTTATACCAAAGATGGTGATCTGTCCCAATCTAAATAAGGTTTCCTGTTCACCGTTAAAATTACATTTTTCCCGCACAACTAGGTTCAAAGATACACCATCTCTAATAAGATAGGACGAGAAACAAGGATGATGAACCTTGCGTCATTTCTATCCTGGAGTTATCTCTATTCATGGCATGTGTTCTTATTCTAAGTAGGTATCTGGTTCATTGCCCCCTACTGGGGGAGGTATTCTGACATAATCGGGCCCTAGCTAGATTCGTCATGTTCATTGGAATTCTATTGAAAATTCTTATGCATTGGGAATAAAGTTGTATTACCAAATGAGAATCTCAAATTTTTTGAACGTAGTCGATCATATGTTGTCTTACAATGGAAAATAAAAAATAAAAATAGACATTAAAAATAATTATATTGTGAATCAACATTGTATTTCCACATGTATTGTCTCACAGTGTGAAGCAACACATGAACACCAATTTTCACGGTTCTTAACTTTTTTGTGGTTCTCATTTGGTTAATCCCCCCCATATATATATATATATATAGAGAGAGAGAGAGAGAGAGATTCAAACAAAACCACCTCAATTTTATGAGATTGCAAGAACATTCTTATCACATGTAATAATACACGTGAGAGGACCAGGTGGTGTGCAGACGACGTGCCTCTTAGGTTGCGTCAAAGGTAGTTTGAGTTTATGATTTAGGGGCTGTTCGATTCGTTTTCTGTTAAGTCATGTATGGATATAGTTATCTGTATATTAAGAGATAAGTTATTGTCCGGTTGTTGTGTTGAATAAACAGTCTGAATGTCAGAAATGACCATTTTACCCCCAACCTATATTAAACGCTATTAAAGCATTTGTTTGATAAAAATGTTGAATATTTGACTTTGAATGGTTAAAAATATCAATTCAAAGTTTTTTTTTAAATAAAAACAATTTACCAAGTCTTATCAAACCCAAATTAGAACAATTTCGTTCTCAAAAATATCAAGCCCTAATATTTTTTCAAATCTAAAATCTTTAAATTAAAGTCATGTATCAAATCTTTAATTGTTGGTGGGATTTTAGATGTTATTGAGGATGAGATTGTTTGTTAAAAGAAGGGTATTTAAGTAAAAAGTTTGGTTGAATGTAGACAAGTGCTCTTCTCAAGTTGGCCAAATAAGCCCTTGATTTCCAGATTAAGCCATAACCGAACAATTATTTATGGCTGAGCGAATAAGCTATATGGGCTATACAGCCCAATAAGCCACAACCGAACAGCCCCTTAGTATCACATGTGATGGTCTTGATGAATTATAGTATCACATCAGAAACACCTTTATAACGTGTGATAATACATGTAAAGGGGCTTACTGGTGTAATAACGACTTGACCCGCAACCAAAATCATGCCAAAAGTCTTTCGCATCTCTTATTCTGTATCACATATGTATCATATGTGATGGAATAATAGTATCACATGTGATTGTCTATAATAAAAAGGTGTTCTCGCGTTAAAATGAATGCATTCTCGTTTGAACCCTCCCTATATAATCATCTTTAATCTCAAACTCACATATGAATCGCGCTTGATAGGGGATTGATCCGGTGCATTTCATTCTATTGCACATCCAGGGGTGGAGATCCCTTCTTACGCTTATCACCCTTACTCTCTTTCTCACCGGAACCCAACTCCATATATATGGGGTAAATAACTTGAGAACTCCAAAATGCGAGGTCCATCCTAAGCCATAAATTTAAGATAATTAATGTTATTAACTAATAAGACAATAATTATTATTTATTAAATAAAGATTTATGCATAAAAAATCATATATATCTCTCTTTATTTCTCTTTTTTCTCTCCTCTCTTTGTAACATACACATGTAGGGTTGGGTTTATGTGAAACTAGTCTGTTTTCGTGAACTCGCGAGATCACTTTTTTACACTTGAACTTCACAGCAAAACGCTGTGAAGGTAAAAAATAGTCGAACCTTCATAGCAAAAACACTATAAAGATTACCTTCACAGTGTTTTGCTGCAAAGTTTCAAATGTAAAAAAATGATCTCACGAGTCTCACGAAAACAAATTGGTATCACGTGATCCCAATTCTACACATGCATAATTAAATATGCATATAAAGTGAACAATAATGAACACAATATAAACAAGTTTAAGAAAATTTTACTACAAGGGTTCATAATGTATTTACAATAGTTGATGTTTACAATATGTTCACAAGTTATACCCGATCTAGATTTAGAGTGTGTTCATAATGTGTTCATAAACTATAATAATATTCTTAAGAAATTGTTCATAATGTGTTCACAAACTATAATAATATTCTTAAGAAACTGTTCACAAACTATAATAATATTTTTAAGAAATTATTCACAATGTGTTCACATATTGCACGCATTCAATTATTGAGAAGAGAGAGAAAAATATAAAAGATGAGAAAAAAAGAGAGGAGATACAAGAAAGAAGATAGGAGAGAGAGAGAAGTTTTTATATTATATTAGATTTTTTTAGCTAAATCTATGCGGTCTAAATTTGATCTCATGGCTCTCGTAAATTAGACGAATCCTCAAAAGAAGGCCCTTATATATATATATATATATATATATATATATATATATATATATA